ATCTCCTTGGGTTGTGCCATGGGTTCCCCGATGACTTCCCATGCAGCTGGGTGGCACCAGGAGAGAGATGACAACCATCTGTAAGGGCTGAGTGGGCTGGTGCTAATTATCATGCAGGAACAGGATTGCAGTCTCTGAGCTGGCAGCACCAGGCATTTGCTTGCTCAAGACACAGGGCAGTGCTCCTCTGCTCTGGTGGCTCCCCAGTGTCATGTTTGGTGGGAAGGGTTGTTACAGTTATGATGAAAGGGTAATCTATTACAAATTACTCATTAATGCAACTGAAAAATCAGTGACATATTACTGATTATGCCCCGTGTCACACTAGCTCGGCGGCAAGACTTGGTTCGTGCTGCTGATTTGTCTTGTGTTTTTTATAGCAACCTTCTCAAGATAACTTACAACACACCACTTCTTTCCTCCTCCTCACCCAGATGAGTTCATGGGCCTGGCCTTTTCGGAGCTGCTGTGCCTGGCTGCACATGTGCTGCCTCCCGAGTAGTCAAACTGCTTTAACGCCTTGCAACTAAATACCCAGTTGCAAATTTGAGACCCTTCTGCATCCATTCCTGGCAGGTACTGAGATGTGCTAAGCCTCCAGGCTGTGTCCAGCGGCCATCTGTGCTGGTAACGCTTGGTGGCTTTCAGAAAGTAACCTTGGCAGCCGAGTCACAGGGCTTTCCCACCCACCAGCTCTGCGCAGGTACGGTCTGCTCTGTCCTGTACTCCTCTGAGCCCGCTTCCAAAAACCTCACCACTGCAGCATGAATTGCTGGAAGGCCTCTTTGCTGGCTAATGCCCTTTGGCTCTCCTCCAGAAACAGAAAAAGCTCTAATCATCTTCCTACTAGTTTGGCACCATCAGAGTGTTATTGCTGCTTCTGCATGAGGAGTTTTGCCCATGGTGGATATTCCCGCTTTAAGCACTCTCATTAAGGAGCCAGGACTTTGTGCAAGATCCTCACACGCAGCCCCAGAGCCCGCACCAGCCTCAGGACAGGCACGGCTGACTGGCAGCAAGTCATGGGAGCAGCTAACGCTTGCTACATATTCGGTCCTTGATTTATTCATCTCAGCCACAGATGGGTCTTGAATAGAAAAGATTTATGAAAAATGAGGTGAGAACAGGGAGGTATTTAACTAACGAAGCTGGGAAGGAAATGGGAAGCACAGATCAGGAGAGCAGAAAAGGGAGCGCGGTGGGAACAAAGTAGGAGCTGCCCAAAAGAGCTCATCCAGGAGCCCTGCACCAGGGTTGCAGTAAAAGCTGCAAGGAATTTGCAAAGTTTGGAGCAACGAAATAGCTGAGCACACAGCAGCAGTGGGATGATGAGGAAAGCCCAACTCTTGCATTTATACTCATGGCCAGAGGGCAGTTGTGGCTCAATGCCACCAAGCAGGTGGAGGCCACGTCTCTCTCAGAACAAGGGGTGCCAAACAGGCAGAATGATTGGATAAAATTCAGTAAAAAGGCTAAAGCTATTCCAAAACCCAGCAAAACTGGAAAAGGAGAGCTGCAGAGAAGCCATTAACCAAGATATACGTATAAATGTATCAATGACAGAAACACGGGAACCATGAGAGAAAGAAGAGGCAGCAGAAAGGGACACAAGATGCAGAGCAAGAGGTGGCCTGAAGTGGTTTATTTAGGTGATGACCAGAGGCAGTGTCCAGTTGGCATCTGGAGCTGGACATCTCTCTGCAGGACCAAACTTTTGGGGTTTCACATGGAAACTGGTGGGTAGGGCTCGCTGGCCTGCTCCTGGCAGGAGGTCAGACTGGATGGGGGGGTGGGACAGCTTCTGCCAGCCTCCCGAAGTCGGCCGGTATGGCCCCGTGGTGCCGCAGGATGCAGCTATGTGCCTTTTATCATCGGAGTCAGATTGTTCCTCTGTGGAGCGCAGGAAAGCTCCGCTCTCCAGCTTTGCGATGAGCTACTTCCTTTTTCTTTTTTTTTTAGAATCAGAATTTCTTTTCTCTTCCTCCTCCACCTCAAAAAAGCGGACATTTAATAATTTGGATCGGAAGAGCTTGCTATCGTGAAGCAATGGGTGGTAGCGGTGCTGCACCTAGTGACATCATGCTGTCAGCCTGGCCAAGTCTTCATCCCGTCAGGGCTATTCAGTCAAACACAACTAATTACTCTGCCAGGTCCTCGACCAGATGCCAAATTGATTCACGGTACTAACTAAAAGAAGGGAAGGAGGAGAAATTGCACCATTTCCTATGACTGAAACTACATTAACCCGTTACCCCAAGGAAAACTTTGACAAAAGTTTTTATTGCGGCTGTTGAGCTATACGCCAGACGGCTGAAGTGCATTGCCAGGAGACCCCGGTGTTGTGCTGTGAAAGTTCATATGCAGAGCCCAGTTTGCATTTGATATCCATCAGCGTTCAGAGGAGAAAGATCTTTTTTCAGAACATCTGCAGAGTATCTTGTACGTCAGAGGACCTAAAACTGTTATCAGAAACTGCTAATTAAAACTTAACAAAATCAAATACCTGTTTTTCTAAGCTGACCTGAGGATGCTGAAAACTAAGAGCAACACCAGGGAGACCGCTGGAAATGAAAGCTTTTACTCAATCTGTCAGCCAACTCACAAGGGAAACTTTTCCCGGACACTGCAAGAAGCCTGTAATTACATCATCAGGGCAAGGGCACACTGGTACGTTGCTTATTAATCATTTTCCAGGAAGAATACTATCAGAAAGCCATTCTTAATAGCACCACTGCCCAGCAACATGGGCTCCCTTACTCACTGCAGGGTGGGTACTTAGGATTTCCCTCGCATGAATTTCCTCTTTGAGGAAATTTCAATCCCTGCCAGAAGCCTGCAATGCAAACGCACCTTTTCACATGTTCTTCTGACAAAAGGCCAATTTGCACAACACCCTACAGCTATAATAAACTCTCAAACTCTCACAAAACCATTCTTCTCTGGTAGGAGTGACAAATGCAGCCCATCCAAAACAGTGAGTACTGCTGGATTTTGCATTTTCCCCTCTGCTCCAAAGACACGAGAGACGCCTTCTCTCCACCAGATGTAACCCCAGGGGGAACACCAAGGTTCAGCACTGCCCATGCCACCCTGCACTTGTTCCTTAAATAAAGCGACCAAGACTTGTTCACCATATATGTATGACCAAAGCATCATTCCCCTTCAAAAACCTGGACAATGGTAAAAGGGAGGAGGAGAGATGGAAGGAAGAGGACAGGAGGACAAGTAAGACTGTCATGCTTATCAAATACAACCCTTAAGCTTGTATTTGAGAGGTGAGACCTCCTCCCTCCACTACACAAAGCAACTGAGAAGAGCAAAGAAACAAAGACAAGCCAAAGGCAAAGCGTGTTGGAAGAGAGAAGGAGATATACACCACATAGGTAATACCATGGATGGAGTATCATTCTTGTGAATCGTGATCCAGAAGAACGATACCCTAAATAGAAGCTATGACACGTGTAAGTGGGGTGAAATACAGCGGACTGTTATAACTGCACAGAATAAAGTCCACAAGCAAATATCAGAGCCCTCCCAGCTACCTTTGATTCAATGAGTCCTGTGATCTGCTGCTCCGTTCCTCCAAGGGCTACTGATGCAATGTGCCAGATTCCGTGTTTCTTTCCAACTGTTCTGAGTCTCCTGCATCTGATCTCAAAGAAGGGAGCAGAAACAGCTGGAAGAGAGAAACCAGAATGGCATAGTCCAGCAGCAACCCTTGGAAGAACAAACAACGACAGCCTTGTGAGAGGCACCATTGTCCCCCAGCACACATGTTTGCATGTGGACACATATCCACATGTCTTCTAGAAGGAACGCATGTTGCTAGTGCATCAGCTCTGGCTGGTCACAGAGCACCAGAGCGTCTTCTGACTTAGCATGCAATCAGTGCAAGCTGAACAGACCAACAGCTCAACAGCACGGCCATGATCCACAGTTATGGGTGCCAAACGAGTCAGACATACTAAATGAGGTCTAAGTTTGGCACCACACTTCTCCTCCAGTGGTACCTTTACTCCCTGAGCAACTCCATCTACTTTGCAGCACATGAGTGGCTCGCAGCCCGCACAAGGGAAGCCAGTCAAGGTCTACTCTGTTTAGGCTTTAAAGCTCCTGTAGATCCAGCTGCAGACCAAAGGAGGAGGGCAAAACAGCAGGTGAAACGGGAGACTGAAGGAATAAGCTTCTTCAGAGAGAACTTTTGCTGCCAAAGGAGAGGATTAGTCGTGAAAATCAGGAAGTCAACGAAGCAGAGAGCAGCAGGAGGCCACTGCAGATAATAGAGACAGTAGGAGCAAAGCTATTGCTCACCAAGGCACGTGAAGGGGAGATAAAAAGGCCTGTGCTCTTTCATATGTGCAAAGACTAGAAAGAGGGAGCGAGGAGTTCAGGGAGATGGTGCTGGTGGAGGAAGGGCCACTAGGAAAAAAAGCCTTTGAAAATGAACCATGGAAAAGTGATTAATAAGGGAAGAACTGTCAGGGTTGGTGTTAGGACCTTCTCATTTCCACTAGAAAGAAGTCAGTCATTGCAATGCACAACCAGATTTGGGGAGGGAAGACCAGGAGCACAGCAAGACCAAGCCAGAAGGATATCATTTAAAGGACAGAAACAGAATTTCAGACAGAGAGCAAATCACATTAGGATGGTTAGGAATTACACGTAGGAGAGGACAGAAAGCAAGTTTAAAGGCTCATGGGATATTTAAGGCAAGACAGCCCAAAAGATCTCTTGCCAGCCTTACAGCAGGGATGAAATGGAAACCATAACATTTTTCCTGACTGCAACTTCCTTGTCACCGATTACTAGAAAGCTCAGGCGCACCACGTCTCTCCAGGACAGCAGTACCACCGCCAGCCCAGCCCTAGCGTATGCGGCACGGTTTCTAGAGGGGTCCCTCAACTCCACGTCCCTTCTGCCCTACACAAACCTACTAATTACTACAAATTAGTTCCCTTTCATCTGTGCCAAGTCATCAAGGGCAGTAACAAAACGAGTACCTGGAGTATCGCAAGTCTGCCTGTCCCCTGAAGAGTTGGTTGGAGGTATCCGGTGTCGGTAGACTAGATGTGGTTTATTGTGTTCTTCTTCATACTCCTGTTCTTCGAGCGATAGCAGCGGCTCTACGAAATAGTCCCCATCGTCAGATTTGAATGTGCCCAGCTGAGAGGGACCAGAGAGGAACAGGCGATCAGCTTCGGGCGATGACAAACCACGGAACAGGACTACCCACCAAAATGAGCAGTTAATGAGGGAGGTGTGCGAGTGCCCGGTTCTGCAGCGACCCCTGTGAAGGCATGGGCTGGAGCTCCAGCTCCGATCACACCACTTGCACCCACACCAGGCTGCCCTGCTCCCCACAGCCATCCCGCTGGAACGTATGGAAAGCAAATTACTAATCTGTAGGCAGGCAGCACAAGAGGGGGATGTCTGCCAGACCCCATCCCTATGCCAGGGACATTTACCAAGCCACCCCTGCCCAAGGAGAGATGGTCCTCCAGTGTGCTGGAGGCCTCAGTGCAACCCCATTGCATTGTGCTGGTTTGCATGCAGCAGTTCTCCCTGAGACAAGCTTTAAACCCATGTGCAAGGACCAGAGGGAGGTATCTGGCCAGTGAAATCCCTGCTTATGGGAAGACACCAACATTCCCAGTTGCATGTGACTATGAACATGGGGATTTGGTGGGTAAATAAAAGATATCCAAGATAAAAAACATCCTGTGGCCACGTTAGACTGGAAAGCATGAGCAGAAACTGGGAGGGAGACCTGCCTGGCCGTACACACGTGCACTAGGCTGGGTGAACTCACCCAGGAGAGCTCCTGGATGAGATGGAGGTCAGTAGGGACCTCCCAGGGGAGCACCTGGGACAGGCACCCTGGGGTGCTAGAAGGTACCAGGGCAGACGGAAGGGTCAGCCCTGCTGGGAGCTTCTGCTCCTCCCTTTGCCGATATTCCCCCCGCACAAGAAGGG